ACAGCAGACGCCGTGCCATCGCTTGCAGAGTGTCGGAATATGGAGATCCTGGCCAGAGCGAAAGATCGGATGGGAAACTCGAAAAAGGTGTGAGGACCATAACGCACCGTGGAAGATAAATGCGCAATCGCATGCCATCAAACCATAGAATAGGATCACCAGCGGACATTATCACTACTGTTTACTCCCAACCGTGAACAGCCAGAAAGCGCTTCTATCTTACTCGCCCCGTGCTCCGTTTCCCCGTTTCGGCGCCGTCTGCCACTCCCCCCCCCCCCCCCCTCCCCCCCCCTGCCCGTCCCCGCAGCGTCGGCCACAAGTGGCGCCAGAAGGGTTGGCCGCCGCTGCCGCGGCCGCGGCCGCCCGGCGCCGCACAAGTGTCGCAAACGATGCCATTTGCATTGGCCGTCCCAGGTGGACGGGATGGGCGGCGGCGGCGGCCGGCGGACGGGCGGCGGCCGCTAACAGCGCTATCATGCAAATTGACAAGTGTGGTGCGCGTCGGAGGCCGCCACGGTGCCGGCTCGCTGGCCGCAGCGGACGGCATATTGCATTCGAAAAGGATTGCAGTGAAGGGCGCCTCTGGAGCGGCGAACGAAGAGAGGGGTGCCTCTTGAGCGGCGGCGAGCGGAGAGAGGCGCAACCGGGCGAGGACGGTTGTGATGCGGCGCTGCTCTAGCGCACACGTGCTGACGATGATCGCCGAACAAGCTGTGCCGGGGCGCGCATTTGGATGTGATTTATACAAATAGGGCGTGCATCACCCTTTTCAGCTCGCAACGGATGGCAATAACAGTGGCGAAAACTTGGGAGGGGGGGGGGGAGGGAGGGGAGGAAGCCAATGTTATTACGTGCAAGTCCTGAGCCATTGTTATGACATCATCCTCGTCTAAAATTCGCTGGTGAACACGAGGCTGAAGTCAGAGCCTCGCCATCCAACGGTGCAAATGAGAGCATGAGCTGGTGGCCCCTCGCCGCCACGAAAAACGAGGCGGTTTTCGAGGCCCTATCTCAGAGCACCACTCCATCATCAGGCAGTTATAAATGATCTGCAGATCTAACCAGCCAGCTACACAAAAAGGGTAGCGCTATGATAATTATGAAAGCTAACGATTACCGGGAACAAAGATCCACAAGGAAGAGTAGCGGGTGATTAGCTTAATTGTACCGTCAAAACTTCAAAGGCTGGATTTGGAAGCTTCATAGGTCATGGTCAGATATTTAAAGATCCGACAAGAATTTCAGGGAGGGTTAACAATACAAAAGGATTGGTAGGCCAATGCCTTGATTCACGTCGGCGAAGAACGCATGACAGGGAGCAGATGTCATTGGGTGGAAACGAACGGACAATGCCAGAGCAAAATACTCTTCAAGTGATCTGAAAATTGTTCGAGGTTAGATCACTCTGTATGACTTCGATCTCCGATCCTTTCGACACTCTAATCACTTCGACTAGTATGTTCGTAAGGCGGCCGGCGGTCCTGATTGTCATTTTTCTGAATATGGTTTGGTTTGGCGTGGTCTCGACTATATCCCTTTCATCCAATAACGACAATGTCAGGGCTACGGGACGAGGAAGAGATAACCAGCGGGGAAATACCATGGCCGTCGCGAAATGCCTCCGCTATACCACCCGGCATAGAGACCCTGCTTCGGGGTTTGTGCCAGCGTTCGGGCCTGGGCAAAGCTAATGGATGACGGCCGCGACATGCCCCAGTGAGACGGGATGTCCCGATGGTTGAAGATTAAGTGCTGGATAAGGATAGCATGCCGCATGGTGCACACAACTGTTGGGTGTAACAGTATCTCTAGTGCCTTGGTGCTTGCGAATGGATGCATATGTGAGAGTTCAGGAAGTTCAGCCGTGCCAGACCAAGTGGACGCCGCCGCGCCTTGCACCAACAAGTAGTCCGCGATGGTGACCTAATGGTGGTTTCATTAAACAGGCCCAACTGTTTCCGGATGTCTCAGCCAGCCGCTAATGCCACCTGTTGGCGGAATCAGCAACCAAGCCGCTGAGCCTCTCGGGCACGCCGGCACAGCATATCTCAAGCCTTTCAGGCGGCTGCTTCGGCAAGATTTGACACGGCAAGAGAACCGGTGGCATTTAAAATATTACATTGCTTCGAGCAACATCTGTGCAAAGTCGGAGTAGTTGGTATTTTATTTACCGTAGTTACGTAATAAGTAATAGCATGACTAATAGCCAAACTAGATTATTCACGTTTACTCCACCACACCACAAATTTTCGCCACACCATGTATGCACATTTTATCAAAGGAGACACTTTGTTTAAAGGACTTTGATTTGACAGGGCCAGGGAGCAGGGACAGCACGAGGAACAGTGTCGAAAAATTTGACTTGCTCTGAACGCAGTTCTGACAAAAATGGCACACCCACCACCGCCAGAGCCGTGCATATTCAGGGTTTTTCACAATCCGACCCTCGACAGGGCAAGAGACGTTGGCGCGAGTATCTAATGAATTACCTCAGGTCTCCGGGTGTGGGGCAGCGCATTTCTCCCACCGTCACGACCACATTTCCATAAGCGTGCCGTACCTGGGAGATAGTGGTCGTACGTTCATAGGAATCATTAAAATGGAATCAGTTAATGATGAATGACTGACCCTGCCCGGTCGGCCCTGATGGTCACACAGGGTCAGCGCAGGTCATCAATCACAAACTAAATCGATATCCAGCTGTTTGGTAAAACGTCGAGACCTTGGTTCCTCCCATCCACGCGTCCAGCCCCGCGGCCAGCGGGTGGGGCCGCCGGACCCACCAGCGCGGCGCCTGTTCCACGTCCGCCGGCGCGTCCGGGGGGGGGGGGGGGGCGGGGGCGGGCCAGAGTTGCCGGCGCCGCAGGCCGGGGTCAGACAGGTCAGGCGTCCCCAGCGTTCCCAGTGGTCGCATCAGCCTCGGCATCTGCAACGGCCTTCGCGGTCCAGCAGCCCAGTGGTCCCAGCGGTCCCGGCGGTCTCGTGGTCCGGGCGCCCCAGCCGCCCCAGCCAGCCCGGCGGTCCCAGCGGCCCTAGCGGTCCGGTGGGTCCGGGCGCCCAGCCTCCCCAGCAGGCCCGGCGGTCCCAGCGGTCCCAGCGGTCCGGTGGTCCGGGTGCCCCAGCCCGCCCCAGTGGCCCTGCGACACTGTCATGCCGCTCGGCCAGCGTGAGCTGGCTTCTTACGGAGGCCGGGGCTACGGCGTAACCCACCGGTGACCTCAGGCTGACGCCGCACGTGGGTATGGCGGTGGAAGGGGTGCAGGACGCACCTGAGTGCGGCACTGGGAGGGTGCAGGGCACGCGGTTGTCATGCTGGCGGGGCTGAGGGCAAATGGTGTGATTGCGGCGGCGGCGCGCACGCGACATCACTGCGGGCGCTGTGACGTGCACGCGACGGCCGGAACTACCGCGGGTAGGTCGATCGGACCATGCCACCGTTACCAGAGGAGCAGCGGATAACTCCATGGAACTTTATCGGTCTTACTTACTGGAGACACATAGGGGAGGAAGAGAGGGAGAGAGAGAGAGAGAGAGAGAGAGAGAGAGAGAGAGAGGAGAGAGAGAGAGAGGAGAGAGAGAGAGAGAGAGGAGAGGAGAGAGAGAGAGAGAGAGAGAGAGAGAGAGAGAGAGAGACGAGAGAGAGAGAGAGAGAGAGAGAGAGAGAGAGAGAGAGAGGAGGAGAGAGAGAGAGAGAGAGAGGAGAGAGGGAAGAGAGAGAGAGAGAGAGGGGGGGGGGGCACTGGCGGCTTCGTGTGGCTGAGCGCCGCGCGCCGACTGATGCCCGGCGGCCGCCACGCACTTGGTCGTGGAACCAGGTCACAGTGCGATAGGCCGGCGGCGATGACGCGTCGAGCTCGGCCGGAAATCAGGCCATTAGGCGAGTGTGAAGTCGGGCCCGGTCACTTCCGACGCGTGGACTGGCTCCGGAACCGGCGCCATTAGAGCGCCAATATCCACTGACCACCGGCGGATGGGACGCTCAGTGGCGGAGTCAGGACGACCGGCGAGGGGGCGCCGATGACCGCTGACCACCGGCTGATGGGACGCTCAGTGGCGGAGTCAGGACGACCGGCGAGGGGGCGCCAATATCCACTGACCACCGGTGGGTGGGACGCCCAGTGGCGGAGTCAGGACGACCGGCGAGGGGGCGCCGATGACCGCTGACCACCGGCTGATGGGACGCTCAGTGGCGGAGTCAGGACGGCCGAGGGGCGGGGGCGAAGTCCTCTGACATGTCAGATGTGGTGACCTGGTGGACTGGTGGATGATGGTGAATGGTGGACTCCGGGTTGCTGGTGGGAGGCATCGATATCCGTTGCCTCATCAAATATGACGACCCCAGCAGAGGCATGACAGCGTCGGAAGAACACCTTTACTGCCCGAGCCGCCTCATAGCTGATAACACCCAATGATATTTTCTGGTCATGTACTGATCACTCGCTCTCCCTTCACGGCTCTTTTTGGCGCGGTTCCTCGCCTGACTCGGTTCAGCGCCGTCGCTCTCTCCGCGGGCTGGCGCCGTGGATTTATCCGTTTACGCCGCGGTCGCGCTGTGACGTGGCCCGACACGGTCATTGGGCGGGTGGACAATGCGTTTGAAGTGTAAAATTGCCTGCGTTCCGCCCGTTGATGCGCCATCCATCACCGGCCACGGCAGCAGAAGTTCACACGTGTCTGCGCTCGGCGCTGCGCCGGCGCCGCGCGCCAATTTCGCCTCAGCGGACTGTGAGGCTGCTGGCCGTGTCAGGTGTCAGGTGGCGCACAGGTGGCGGGTCAGGTCAGGGTCAGGTCGGGTGGTGCTACTTCTCAATCGCCCACTCCGCGTCCGCTCATCCGCACTGGGCAAAAGTCGTGCTAGATCCATCTCAAAACTGTGGTGGCGCTGGGTCCGTCTCGTCTGATTGAAAAACTACATCCCGAGATTCTTCGCCAATATGTTGCTCAAGATCCACGGCGTTCACAACACGCATGCTGAAAACAATGTCATTGGCGGTGCTTACCGGATTCGGTAGTGTTGGCACAGGCATCCACCAGGCGGCACTTGATCTTCGCCTCCTCCTCCTCCGTCCGCTTCGGCCGGTCGCCGTCCTCTCTCCTGCCGTCTGAGGACGTGCTCGACACCGACGGCGTCGGCGAGAGCCCGTTCAAATGTAGCTTCTCACGGTCGCCGATAGATGTCGCTATTCGGCGGGGAGCATTGCCGCTAGGCCGCCGGCGGCCGTTAAGGCCTGGTCCGTCGCGGTCGGGCCGGGCCCCCGGCGGCGTGTCGCGGCCGCCCTGATCGCCGGTGGCGGGCGGCGGCGGCGCGCACTGCAGCACCCGCTGGTGGATGAACCGGATCACGTCCGCCAGGTCGAAGTCGCGCTGACAGATGCGGCAGGTCATCGCGTCGCCCACCGGGTCGGCGTCTGCCGGAGAGAGGCGCCGGTGAGGCCGGGTGAAGGCTGCGGGTCGGTGGTGGCCGGACGGCGCGGCCCGACGCGGCCACCACCCCTGACCTCTCCCACACCAACTGGGTCAATTTGGCCGCGCGTTCCCCGGCCGGCTGTGCCGATCCCGCGCATTGCAACAGTCGGCGGCTGGAGTGGCCTGGTCGCCCGGCTGCTTGTACTGCGCTGGAGGGGCAGTACAAGCGCTTGTTCACAGAGGGACATCCCGACTTGGGAGCGCACGGATGCTGCGGCATGTGCTGTTCATAATACGGTTCCTGCACAAAGCAGCCGCAGTGTGTAGCGAATAAGAGTAACACAGACTCACGACCGATTGCCAGCAGTGTCTGAAGCCAAGATGATCACCAGTTAAGAAGCGAGGGACCTTTATCGACACTCAAATCACCGTCGCACTGACTTAAATCAATCGCTGAACGATTTTACAAGGACTTCCTCGAGAACACTGCCCGGAGCACCAGTGATGCCAGCAGGTCGACAACCGTTGTGATGGGCGGTCACATCATCGCGGGTGACGTCTGAAGCCTGTTTGACGTTCTGCTAACTGGTGCACTGACACTAATTCATGCACGATTACATAAGCCCTAATAATGTCTGACAACGAGCTCGACGCGGTGGACAGCTCCCTCGCCATCTCCCGCGCCACCCCGTGATTAAACACAAAAACTAATTTACATCTTAATCTAGAAATAAAATCTTGATTCAGGCCGTCACGCCAGCCGACCGCAGTAACATCAATACCGGGCCCGCTGACTTCCTGTCGGTCCGGCCGGCGCGGCGCGCGCGCCACAACCGCCGCCGGCGGCCAAAGTGGCGCATCCCATCTGCCGCCGCCGGCGGAGCCGGGCGTCACGGCTCCATCACCGGGACGGAGTGACGTTAATTAACCGAAAGCATCAGATCAGCCCCGATCACGCTCTCCGCGCCGGAGTGATACGGCCGACGCCCGCGTCAGGCCGGCCGCCCTGCCGCTGGCGTCCACCGAAGGCGCGATCTTTACCAGCGGATCAATGAGACGTGGGCCTGTTCTCCACCTAGCCGGCACGACACACGATATCTCCGCCACGTGACCACCGCCTCTGCTCGAGCCCGGCGCGCCGGGACCGCCGCCGGCCCATAATAATGCGCCACGAATGCAGGCGGACCGAAATGACGCGCCGCCGCTGCTGCCGGGTCAGAATACCGAATAACGCCGGGTGCTGGCGGCTCGCGGGTCAGCCAGCGGCATCACAACTGTCAACACGCGGGTCAGAGCGCGGTGCCGGCGCCGCCACGAGGCGAGCGCGTCGGCGGCACAAACGACGCGTGCCGGGATGTGCCGCGACCGCCGCAGCGCAGAGAAGCGCGCCACGTCGGCCGCCCGCGCGGACCCCGGCCGCCGGTGGACCGGCGCCTAATTGCGTCCCATCGCGGCGATCGGGGGCGCGCAGGCATCGCGTGCCGCTGTGTCGATACGGGCGACACGTCCGCCGGGCCTGCCGGGGCACGCGGCGCGCGACCGGCCGGCGCGAGGCGAATCGATGTAGCGCATGCGGTCCGCGCGTCGCGCCCCGGGCCACGCTCCGCACACGAGCCGAGTGGCTTGAGGCCGCTCCCCGGCTCCGGCGGCCCCGGAGCCGCCTCCCACGGACCCGGTGCGGGGTCGTGTTCTCCACCCGCGTGGGCGGCGTCGGGTCCGGAGTTTCGAGTGACTTTCGCACGGGTCTGTAGGCGGGCCTCGCTGTGGAGCAGCTAGAGCAACGTCCCTTTCCCGCCATCAGCCACCCGCACGGCAGAATCTCCGCGGAGCCGACTCCTGCAGCGACGCTTCGCGGAGCCGGCTCCTGCCAGCGGCGCGACGGAGCGTGTCACGCAGACGGCCGCCAGATGACCCGCGCTTGCCGCGCAGACGGATGGCCTGGCGGCGTCTTTGATCTCGGACATCAGCACAAATCATCGGCCGCCGCCGTTGGCCATTTGCCGGCAGTCGCGGCCGTCCCACAAAAATAGCCGGCCGCGAGGCGAGCGGTCGGCGCGGAGCCGGCAGGCGGGGCGTCGGCGGCGACGTTGGTCACCTGTCACCGTCGGACGCGACGCCCCATTGGCGCCGTTATGGTGGGATGGCCGCAGCAGCGGCAGAGAGAATCGCAGCCGGCCGCTGCTGGGAGAAATGAATAAGATGGAGGAAGTCACTTTGGCGAGAAAATAAGAAGCGCGTTGCTCGGTCTAATTAGCGCATCTTTCTGCAGCCGATTTAATAGCTTTTCGTCTTCCTTAACAGCTGCCCAGAAAAGAAAGAAGATGCCCGAATTCCGTACCCCAAATCAGCTAGCAAACAGCAGTCCAACCATGCAGGTTTGGTTTGACCTACTGGGCTGTGTTTGTTTTCTCATACTGCTGGCTCATTCGCTTCGTATGAATCGCCCGCATGGAATGCTCATTTCAGTCATGAAATTTTTCTGCTAGCTCCGGCCGCTCAAGCGTGACATTATTTTAAATAGATTTGAGTGTCACGTGTTAACAGCCTTCGATAAGCCAGTTTAAAAACATTCCGTACAATGAATACATGACTCATGTGTCGTTGATGAGGAAGCCGGCCAGCTACTGATACCAACTTCAGTCTGTTATTCCATTCCCCGCCGGGAAGGCATTTAGAATGTAACTAAACCAACGAAAACATGGTCTTTTGACAGATTGATGAACGAAAAGGCCTAACGTATGATAAGTGGTACGAGACCAAAATAATCCCAGCAGTTAAGTGAGAATAGGCCAGCTTTCTCCCAATGCAATCACCAAACTTGCCGGCTAAATCTGACGCCGGAACGCAGGACCGCAACCTGCCCAAAAACCCCACCCTCTGACCACATCGAAAACCGTCAGCGTCAGTGACCAGACGGCGTAAATCGAGACAGCCTCCGGCTCCGGCAGCCCGCTGATCGTCCAGCGGGGCCGGGTCAGACCAGGTCATAGGTCACGGCAGCACCGTGGACCGGTAGGCGGTCGTGACGGGCGAAACTGGCGGGCCCTGAACGCAGGCGCGCGCCGGCCAGTCGTGAAGCGATTAAGCGCGAACGGGCGCTGCTCGAGGCCGCGTTGCACATCCCCTGTGGTCGTGCGCAGGGAACCACTGAAAGCCGGACACGCACCGGACATAGACGAGGTAGTTACGCCGGCCTGGCGCAACTCATGCACCGGTGGCGCGAAACAGAATGTGGGCCAGCGCGCACGACGAGCCGCTCAAATAATATGGCAGCCCGGTGAGGGCTAAGTAGATTGACTAATCGTGAAAATGGCAGCACGGCATGATTACGGCAAAACTGACCAGCAACCATGAGAGTGACAACTAGTGATATGACAAATGAAAAGGAGGTGGATACACACAGGTTCACCTTTCAGTGAACGTGTCAGGTGGATCCAAAAGCGTGCGGTTTTTTACTGTTGTTTTTCAAAATAGTTTATTTCATCGGTTGAAACGAACAATCCTCCTCGGGTCTCCAAAATTACGTTGGATAAGCCATGCACGTAGCGGCATTGTCGTCCTTTACGTCAAGAACAAAGCATTGAGCTCATCGCCCAGCTAGCCACTGCCAATTGCCAGATACGGTGTCAAACAAACGAACGGTTAGCCACCAGGTGGCCGAGCGTCTCGTCCGAGTCAGCGCCACCGCTGAAGCGACGACAGGGAGGCGCCTCATGTCCCCGCCGTTTCATCCCGCGCGCGGGCCGACCCAGCGGGCAGTAACGGCCCGGCCCCTCCCTGGGCCAGGTGGTCCGACACTCGCCAGAGTCGCGCGGGCCAGCCCGGGGCACGCAGCAGCCGAGCACACTGTGGGGACGCCCATTGTCTACCAGCAGGCCTTTGCTCGTTTTTGCGTAAAATAATCCCGATCCCATTGAAGCCGACAGTGCTCGGCTTTTTGGTGCGACTGACAAAGGTCGATGTCCGCAGAGGAGGAGGGGGCTGGGTCCAGCCGGCTTAGGACAGCACGCACTTCCAACGGTCAGACGACCCTTAACCGGAGGAAATCTGGGTCGCAGCCCCATGAGCCGCCCAGAGGCGGGTGTACTGCCAGTGAACGTCCGGTGCGGACAGCCGCTGTGACGTCAGCAGGGGGCAGGCAGGGGAGAGGGGAGCTGGTGACGGCGGGTGGCGAGCCGTCAGCGCGCCACTGCGCAATGTTTACCATCCTGGGAAGCCCCCTCTCCCTCCGGTCCGCCACTGCCTCACCTCCGTCTGCTGTCAATGGCCCCGAATTTTACAACACACGCGCCACACGCACGCCAAAGCAGCGTGTGACGCTATTTTTGCCCACCCGCGACCACCAGTTACACAGAAAAGCCAGTGGTAATCCGTGTGTATCTCTCTCGTCAGCCATCCGTTTCGCGCCCCTAACAATGGGCCAGCTGCCGGTCGCCGGCGCGGGGCAATAACACGACTCACCAACATCGCACCGAGCTGATGCGTTTTTGATTCGTTTTCATCCGACCCCAGGCGGTGGGGCGCGCCATTTTGGAGAGCGGGTGCACGCGCTTTCGGCCTGATGGTCGCCAAGTGTCCCGGTGCAGCCCGCATTGGGTTACCAGTCAACCAAGCATGCAGCCGCTGTCCCCATGGAAACCATGCGAAAGATCTTGTGATCAGTTGTTCCAGCAGCAGAATTACCAGGACTCTTGGTAAATGACTGGCTTCGCACCTCGGGCACTCCTGAACATGGAGAAATGTGAGGATACAGACCAACAGCTTTCCAAGGCTTCCCCAAACGCAAGAAATAGGGACGAACTAAGCATTCGTGCGCTCGAAAGACCTCTGGTATCTCTTCCCCCCTGCCCTAAAAAGTCTGCCAAATCTCCCTGCTGCTACGATACCCTACCGGTCCCACATTCAAGCACGACACAGATGCGATCCAGCGTTTATCGTGTCCAGTCGACGGCCAGTTCTCACCGCCACGGTCGCCACGGCGTCCCGCCATAGTGGTTTCCGC